CGCATATAAGCATATTTTGCTTAAATTACATTTCCATCTGACAATATTAATTTCATCAAAGAAGCTTAGTATAAAATTAATTATAGCTATCATTTATGTTATTTCATCTTCCCCTTTTCATTGAAGCTTCAATGAGAATTCATCAACTGAAGGGCATGATTCACATTTTAACAACAATAATAATGGAAATAACCCAAACTACTTTTTTTTTCCCCCTCCTACTAGAATTCCGTGACTAAAGACTTATCTCTTAATGCCGTTGGAAATGTAATAATATATTGTGAGGATCAGGGGAAGTGCTCCCAATGGCTGTAATGAGAGCACATCTAGTCAGACTCTCCTGCTGACAAAGAACATTTATGTTTCATTGACTTTAGGGAATAACCTCCTGCAATTGTCTGAGAAACAAGTTCCAGGAACAAATCGGAACCAGTGTGCAAATGCCATCCCGTTGAGCATGAAGACAAGGGTATCTGCTTTTACTCACTCGCCAATTCCAGAACATTCTGCTCTATAAGGAAAGTGACCTCCACAGTCCAGCCACCTTCCCCCTGCCCAGGACCCCAGGCACCCACTGCTGGCAATGGAGTCGGCCCTCTAGGTCAGCGGTTCTCAACCTGTGGGTCTCGACCCCTTTGGGGGTCGAACGATCCTTTCACAGGGGTCGCCTAAGACCATCGGAAAGCACATATATAATTACATATTGTTTTTGTGATTAATCACTATGCTTTAATGACGTTCAATTGGCAACAATGAAATTGGGGGTCACCACAACAAGAGGAACTGTATTAAAGAGTCACGGCTTTAGGAAGGTTGAGAACCACTGCTCTAGGTATTGGCCCTGGGGTGCATCCAGGGTGCAGGAAGCAACCGCAGAGCAGGTAAGGATGCCATGTACCTCAGGCATCCAACTAGGGAGAGAGACTCCTCGGGACAGTCAGCCTTTCTGCAGTGTCCACGGGTCAGGACAGTTATAGGAAATTGATTCCATACCCTCAACTTCCAGCTGTGTGTTTTTCTCCAGCTGACCTGCCTGAGAACCGGAGAGGATTGCCCTGGTTCTCCTGCCCCTGCATCCCTTCACAGTTGCCCTGCCCTGCAGGGCTTTACTTCCGGAATGAAAGTCTTACCTGGCACCATTGTGAATGGAGCTCTGGTGGGAAAACTTCCAGGAGGCCAAAGAACAGGAAGATTCCAAGCAGGGGTGGAGCGCGGCCTCCCTCACTCATCATCCTCAGGTAACGGACGGGGAGCAGGCCTGAGGGCAGTTTCCTTTCACCGTCTTACCTCCTTCACCCCCCACGGAGCACTTCTGAGGGAGGGTCAGGGAAGCAAATGGGGTAGAAATGGGAGGAGTGCTCCTGGAGGAAACACGGGCCGGAGTGTCTCGGTTGCATGTTTTGCACGATTCTAAGAGAAGGAAAAATTCCCATGGTTTTTTCTATTACATGGCAGTATATCTTTAAGTACAAGGGATCTAGGGGGAATAGGTAAATTAATGTCTTATGTGTTCTTATGTTATTTGCCCAGGTAGAGAAAGCAGTGCATTAACCTTTGTTTTACATTAACCTTCGCATTACATTAGCTGCTGTAAACACATATTCATTTTTAACTAGGGTACCAACCTCTCACTTATCTGCATTTGCCTATGTTCATTTATTCCATAAACTTTACAGCTGAATTAAAAATAGATTATGTTATAGATTTCTACCATAAATCATGCATTTAGGCATAATATTTAATTCATCTCTTAATATGATGCATCTTTTAATTTAATGTGTCATTTATATACCCTACAATTAATATCGGTCATATAGTTTTTTGTGACAATTTTTACAAAAATATAAACCTATAGTCTTAAAAACATACCATCCTCTTACATGTAGATGTCAGACAAAATGTTTCTAAAATGTATTCTAGGATATAATTTCTTACATTCTAGAAAGCCAGTTTCATTTCATTTGCATAGGTTCCTCTTTTGCAGATTCCAATCTATTTTAATTATGTCAAATATATAGTTATAAAAAATTATATTTCATCATGAAATAAAGTTAGAATTTATTTATACATAATAATTCTTAAGTATCATAACTTTAAAAACTTTAAGATGACTCCCTAGATAGTTTAAATTTGGCATTGATATCTAGATCTGTGTTCAGAAATGATGGGTAAATTCCTGAAGTACAAAAGTCCAATTTTACAGAGTTCTTTTTTATCCCAATTTTATATAATTTTGGCTCCATAAACAAGAGATCTCTAAGTTAAAAATTAATAGGCATAACTGATAAATTATATGAAAGTCCTTTTAATATATTGCCCAGATCCTTTTGCAAATCAGATAGTTTTCAATTCTTGTCTTTTACAAAATTAATTATCATTATGAAGTCATCATATGTTAAATAATTAAAAATATTTTTTACTGTAGATTACTATATTCTTTTGGCATGCAGCTTAGAACTTCAAATAACTAAGTGCTATTCCTATATCAAAATGATTTCCCTTCTCACCAACTTTGTCAGCAAATTTTTTCAGTACCTACATCTAGATTAAGAAAGAAAGGAAGAGAGGAGAAGCAGGGAGGAGGCAGAGTAGGGGAGAGGAAAGGAGAAGGAAGAAAACGGGAAAGAGAGAAACTTGAAGTTGAACTCTGTCATGTTCTAGTGATAAATAATATTCATCACTAGATTCATAAACTGATAGTGGGAAAAACAGTTTGATCCATCACAATATCAGATGCATTTTCAACAGACTTTTCATTTCACATTTAATAATTGTCAAATTTTTCCAGAACTGGTTTGGCTCAGTGGATAGAGCGTCGGCCTGTGGACTCAAGTGTCCCGGGTTTCATTCCAGTCAAGGGCATGTACCTTGGTTGCGGGCACATCCCCAGTGGGGGGGGTGCAGGAGGCAGCTGATCGATGTTTCTCTCTCAGCAATGTTTCTGGCTCTCTATACCTCTCCCTTCCTCTCTGTAAAAAATCAATAAAATATATATATATATATTTTTTAAATTGTCAAATTTTATAATACACTAGAGGCCTGGTGCACAGATTTGTGCACCAGTGGGGTCCCTCAGCCTGGCCTTCAGGGATCAGGCAGAAACCGGCATTGACAGTCATGCATTCCTCTCCATCCTTGGGCCACTCAAAGACCCATTCTGATGTGTGTCCTTCATATCATTTGTGCCTTATTTAGCCAAAGTCATTTACTGGTGACATCCACCCATGGATATATGTTTCTCTTTCTTACTGTTACAGAAGTGAGGTATACCTTCTTGTGCATTAAACTAAAACTAATCGAAAGGTTATACTAAGAATCATTACTTTTGCCCTAAGCAAGTCCATCTCTCATGGGGTCTAGAGTAGCCTGAAGTCCTATACATAAAGAGTAACACTTGGCATGACTTGGCCCTTACCACAGAATGGTTTCTTGAGTTTTAGGAATTCTTTCAGGAATGTGGAAACAATCAAGCTACAATGTCTGAAACACCATTGTCTACATACACAGCTGACTTAAATTGTTTTTAAAAACCATGACTTTCAATGTGATTTTCCTGGAAACTATTAAAAATAATTATCTGAATCTAGCTTTTGGCAAAAAAAAAAAAAAAAATCTTTAGCCTTTTAATTTCGTTGCTTCTATATCTTTAAAAGTAATTTTAATTTTATGAATTTCAAATTGTCTTTTTAACATGTCATTTTAACAGTGACAATTTTAGAGCAATCAATTGATTCTGTAGTCCATACTATTTCTTGCGCTAAGCGTCATGCCATCTTAAACACTATTGCTAACTCATTCTGTTTGTTTCTCTCTGGGTATCAGGAGAATTGACTTGTCTAAAAGCCAAGGACAAGCAATAGAGCTGATGGATTTTCAATGATGCACTCACAAAGGCCAATCCACACAATTGTATCAAATATTCAAGCTTTAACTCTATTGCTTTTGCCTCTTAGTTTTGAACAATTCTTCTAACGTTAAAATGATCCCTCTTCCCCCTATCATGTGCCCTAAATTCTTGCTCCCTCCCTGTTATAACTGCCTCTTGCAAGAATATTTGAGACTAGTTCACAGTGGAGTGTAATTGATTGTTTTCAATGTGTGGGCATGGGGATAAAGGCTGTTCCAGTTGAACTGGAAGTTAATCGTTAAGCTAGAAGAATGCCTTTTCTACATAAGAATTTCAGATGTGTGGCTGAGAAAAAGATGTTTCAGTGGAGAAGACTTTCCCATCCTGAAACTCAGCCTATGTCTTCTAGGCCATTAGCCACGGAGCAGGCTAGTCCACCCTGCCTGGGACCCTGTGGCGGCTCTGGGAGAAGAGCCCAGCCTGCATACTTGGTGCCTTCTGATAACACTGCAGGCATTTGCCATCACTTGAAGATTTAGAATTGCAAAGGAACCTTCATGATGCTTTCTTTTCTTCTTTTACTTTATTTGGTCACTCCAGAAAAATCTGTTGACCACCTGCTGTGTGCCCGGATGGATACTAAGTGCTATGAATACAGTTGTGAAGAAGAAGTCCATGGCCTTAAAGGAGATATATCTAATGTGGGGGTCAGGGAATGAGCAGCTAAACTACAATACAATAAGATAAAGGCGTTGTAAATGGGACAGTAGTGGCCTCCGGAAGTATAGAAGAGCTCCTAACCCAGCTTTGGGAGGTCAATGAGGGTGTCCAGAAGGAGGTGATGGTTCAGCCAAGCCCTAAAGGACCAATCAGGGTGAGCCAGGCAAAAAGGAGGAAGAAGAATATACTGAGAAGAGTGAGTGAGCAAAGGCTCTGGGGTTGAGAGTGAGTGTGTTTCATTGGAGGACCACTTCCAAAACAATGAGTGAAGGGGGGGTGAGGGGTCGGGCAAAAGGCAGAGAAGGGAACTGGGAGGGAAATCAAGGCCCAGTCCTGGAGGACTTTGTAAGCCACTATACAGAACTTAAATTTAACTCTGAGGTGATGAGAAACAATTGTAGGATTTTCAACAGAAAAATGACAGAACCAAATATACATCCCAGAAAGTTTATTCTGGCAGCAGCATAGAGATGAGATTGAAGATAGGCAAGCTGGAGCCAGGAAGCCAGTTAGAAGGCTGCAGCAGTAACAAAGGAGAGTGATGCTGGGGCTTGAGCTAAGGTAAGAAAGCTGAGGTGGAGACGAGCACACAGGCACAGCGTTACCAGGTAGTGGGGTCACAGGCTTGATCATTGAGCAGATGGGGTGGTGGTCAGGAAAAGAAGAGTCCAGGATGACAAAGGAACAAAGGGCGTATCACCCCTTGACATGGAAATCCTGAAAAATAAATAGTTGGGTTCAGTTTGGGATCCTAAAGAAAGGATGCTGTGGCCCTAGCCTGTTTGGCTCAGTGGATAGAGCGTCAGCCTGCGGGTCCCTGGTTCAATTCTGGTCAAGGGCACAGAATTGCCAGGGTTGCGGGCTCCATCCCCAGTAGGGGGCGTGCAGGAGGCGGCCGATCAATGATTCTCATCATTGATATATTTCTATCTCTCTCTCTCCCGCTCCCTTCCTCTCTGAAATCAATAAAAATATTTTTAAAAGAAAAGAAAAAGTAAGGCTGCTGTGGGGCGCCGATGTCATGGCCAGCAATAAGAATGGCCCCCCATGGAAGGGCCCGCCCAGACTGTCCACACGTATGTGGTGCCCTGGCTGGGGAAGAGGAGAGAGACTCTCGTTGGAGATGAAGACTTGAGGGTTATCAGCACCTAAACAGTATTTGAATCTCAAGAGTAGATGAATTCCCCATCACCACAGACAGTAAGTAGAATAAGAGGGCCAAGAATCTGAATAAACTCTGCTGTTTACTGAACAGCAAAAGGAGAGAAATCCAAAAAAACACACTCAAGAAAGAGGATCCAGTAAAGCAGAGAAAGGAAAAAGGGAAAAGGTATTTGCAGTTTAGGTAAATTGCCACCAGGTGGAGTGTGGTCTCTAAATTAGAATCTCTTCTCAGAATTTAAAATTCCCGCAAATATCCTGACCTGGTCTGATAAGATGCTTGCACTTCAGAGCTTCCCAAATGAACACATTAGCTTTAGACCTAAATTCTAAATCTCTCCCTTAAAAAATCGTACACAGCATACTACTCTTTGTTATGTCAGGTTCAGACAGGAAGTATTGGAAAGAGCATATTCCCTGAGGCCAGGCCGTTCTGATTGCAACCCACAGGTCCAGGCGTAGCTCTCTGACCTTGTCACTTAGTCTTGCCTTGCCTCCGTTCCTTCATCTGTAAAATGGTGATGGTGGTATTGTGTCACCAATACAGGGCTGCTGGGAGCAGGAGCTACGCAGCGCCCCTGTAGTAGCTGCTGTCCTACAGTCGGCACTCCTTTAATATTATATCTTTGACAGGATTGCAACTGTGACAATCATTTTCACTGCAAGAATTTGCTTTTGCAAGAAGTGCTCCCCAGAAATTCCAGGCTTCCTGAGCCTGTGGAGTTGCCACATCATCAAGAGCCACCAGGAGGCGGTATTGCCTCTTAGGGGATCCTAGGTCTGGGGATCCTGGGTGCTAAGCACCGAGTTCTGTTTTCCAGAACACCACTTTCCATCATGCTAGGATCTTACAAAATAACAGTTGCCACAGAGTAAACCTGAACCACTTTGCATGTGCATATCAACAATCTATAATAATAAAAGGGTAATATGCTAATTAGACTGGATGTCATTCTGGACATCCTTCTGGATGAAGCCAGGACCAGAGGGAAGCTGCCCAGGTCCCGGGTGCCTGCCAGCAGCCAGAGGAGGGAAGCCCGGGTCCTGGATGCCAGGAAAGCCGGTGCCAGCAGCCGGGGGAAAGAAGGCCTACTTTTGCACGAATTTCGTGCATTGGGCCTCTAGTCTATATTATAAAAGGCAGTGGCCATAACGCCGTAATGCCGTAATGACCAAACGACTGGTCACCAGGAGGTGCACTGATGGGTCTCAGTGCGCGGCGGGTCTGGGGTCTCGCACGATTTCATGCGCTGGGCCTCTAGTAATATATATGATTTGAAACAAACCTTAATGAAAAGAGCGACTTAGGTACACATCACATACCTTCCTGATTCCCTTAAACTGTTTTTAATTATTTCTTAATCTAACCTGGGTTTTCATTCCCTCACATTAATTGCAATTCATTCTTATGTTTGCAGAAAACGAATAGCCCGTGGGCCGCGTGCTTAACCTTAGAGTTTGGCAGTGCTGTCCATGGAAAAAGCCCTTGGTCCTTTTCACCTGCTGGCGGATTAAGTCCCTCATTAAGTGGCTTAGGCAAGCCACTTCAGCCAGTGCTTGTAAGAAAACCTTGGCATCGGGATGCGATTTCAGAGCCTGGCCCTCTTCCGCTGCCTGCCTTTGTCCGCGCTGAGAAAGAAAACACTCACTGGCCCTCTGAGCCCCGTGACCCTTGACTGCTACTGAAAGCCTGGTTGCCCGAGCTACGCTGGCTCCTGCGCAGGCCCCTGGTTTCGTGCTGGCCACTGCCGCCCCCCAGCGGGCAGGCGCTCTGGGGGGGGGGGGGGGGACTGCTTTCACCGGCCAGGGTGGGGGCGGGGTGCTTGGTGAGCTGCAGTGCTCGGCCTCCTGGACCCAGGTAAGCCTTTCCCCTACAGCTGGCAAACATGTTCTTTTCTTCTTCTCAAACTTTTAAACAATTCTGAATGCTAAACAATAAAAAAAATATATTTTTAAATATATATATATATATATATATTTGAATTTTTACAGAGAGGAAGGGAGAGGGATAAAGAGTTAGAAACATCGATGAGAGAGAAACATCGATCAGCTGCTTCCTGCACACTCCCTACTGGGGATATGCCCACAACCAAGGTACATGCCCTTGACCGGAATCGAACCTGGGACCCTTGCATCCGCAGGCTGATGCTCTATCCACTGAGCCAAACCGGTTAGGGCAATAAAAAATATTTTAAAACAACTTTTTAAAGCATTGTTTTTCTAAAGGCGGTGAAACTACTCTGATACTGCATGGCAGATTCCTGTCCTTACACATTTGTCCAGCCCCCAGCAGGTACACCACCACGGAGAACCCTAATGGAAGCTACCGTGTGGCCCTTGGGTGGTAACAGCATGTCCGTGTAGTTCATTCACTGTAACAGACACCCCTCTGGTGCAGGATAAGGACAGTGGGGGAGGCTGTGCCGGGTGGGGACAGCGGGTACATGGGGACTCGGTACTCCCTGCTCAATTTAACTGTGAACCTAGAACTGCTCTTTTTAAAAAGCCTATGTTCACTGTCATTGGTATGAGTTTCTGCCTGTGATGTCGGTCCTCAAGGCATCCAGGAAGGAGGAAACAGGAGGCACGCTGTGTGAGTAGGTTTACCAGATGGCTATCGAGCACCGACTTCGTACTGGAGAGTGTGCAATGGGAACACCCCGCCCGTGAGCCAGACGGACCCAGCTCCTGCCCTCAGGAATCCTGTAGTTGAAAGAAAGGAAAAGAAATAAACTAAGTCACCCAACTAAATGCTTCATTTCACTGTGGTAAATGCGAAGAATGTGCTATGAGAGCGTTCCCCGGGGTGCAGCTAGAAAGGGCTATTTCTCTTCCCTTGGCATTTGTTCCCACTCCTTCTTCAACATCAACATGCTGAGTAGTTAGAGGTTAGTGCAATTGGGTAGCTGAGTTAGTGCAGTGGTATCAGTTCATCACCTCTTCCTCCACCCAAGCCTCTTAGCCCCAGAGAGCTGGAGGGTTGCTACTGTGAGCATCTTTGAGGTGACGCTTGTGTAGACTTCACCTGGTTCTCTCCAAAAAGGCAATGCTGCAGTTCCAAAGGCCCCCAGACCCATCTCACACCAGTCAGGATGGCTGTATATTTTATTTTTTTTAAATAGGAAATTGTAAGTGTTGACAGGGATGCAAAGAAGTTGGAGCCTTTGTGTATTGTTGGTAGGAATATAAAATGGTATCGCTGCTATGAAAAATAGTATTAAAGTTATTCAAAAAAATTAATAGATTTGCCATATGATCCAGCAATTCCACTTCGGGGTGTGCACCTAAAGAATTGAAAATGGATCTCAAAGAGGTGTTTGTACATCCATATTCGTGGCAGCATTATTCAGGACAGATAAAACATAGACACAATCCTACTGTCTACCAATGGGTGAATGGTAAGCAATATATGTTATACACTTAACAGTGGTCAGCAAACTCATTAGTCAACAGAGCCAAATATCAACAGTATAACGATTGAGATTTCTTTTGAGAGCCAAATTTTTTAAACTTAAACTATATAGGTAGGTACATTGTTATTAACTTAATTAGGGTACTCCTAAGGCTTAGGAAGAGCCACACTCAAGGGCCAAAGAGCCCATGTGGCTCGCAAGCCACAGTTTGCCGACCAAGGCAACTAGTACATACAATGGATTATTATTCAGCCTTAAAAATGACCCTGAGGGCATTATGCTAAGTGAAATACGCCAATCACAAAAAGACAACTACCGTATGATTTCACTCATCTGAGGTATCTAGAACAGTCAAATTCATAGAGACAGGAAGTAGAAGAGTGGTTGTCGGGCTTTGAGGGGAGGGAGCAATGGGGAAGGATTGTTTAGTGTGTATAGAGTTTAGTTTTGCAAGATTATAAATTCTGGAGGTGGGTGTGGTGATGGTTGGATGACAATATGAATGTGCTTAACTCCCGTGAATTGCACACTTAAAAATGTTTAAGATAGCAAATGTTTTCTTATGTGTATCTTACCACAATAAAAATAACTGGGGAGTGAAGCATCCGGAAGGCGAGACATTACTACCTTCTTTAGCTGCCCTGTCAAGTTTTTAACCCGCTTACTCACAAACCCGGTGTGGCAAACTGTGAAACCAGGCGGAAGGTGACCAAGTGCTTTCGTCATCTTGGTCCTCTATTCTCTCCTGCCCTCTGCCTCTCCTAGAGTAATTGTTTACTTGGTGAGTCAGAGAAAGGTGAGCATGCAGGATGTATTAAACAATGGGAACAGGGATCTTGAGATAGTGTGCCCCAGATTTAGCAATCCCCACCAGTTGAGAAGACAAGGGTGTGAAGAAATGGAAACTCACATCCGTGGCCAGTGGGAGATCCGCTGAGAGAACCATAAGAGAGAGAGGCACCACCTTCCAGCAAAACAAAATCATCTCTAACTGTTGACCAAGCCATTCTACCTCTGGAACGTTTTGTTGTGTTGTTGTTGTTAGAAATGCAAGTGGGCAAAGACACATCCATCAGGATGGAATGCCAATTGCAGCACAATTTAATACAACAAAAAGCAATAGATAGCCCGAGTGTCCATTACTCAAAGAATGGTTAAATAAATGATGGCACATCCATACAATAAAGTACTACGCACTTCTCAAAAGAGCACGAGGTAGGACTATATAAACCGAGTGGAAATAAGTCTATGATATAGAAAGTAAAACCAGTAAGTAGCAAGACGCTATGTCTAAAATCTCATAGCATTTAAAAGCACAATGTTCACATGTGTTTGTATGGGTATTTTTAAAAGTCTGGAAGGCTGTGCAGATGACTAAAGGAGCCTATCCCTAGGGAATGAAATGCCTTTTTCTTTAGATGACATATTTTTATTTGCTTTGACTATTGCTTGTGATGAGTATGTATCAGTAAGAAGAAATTATTTTAATAAAGTAATTTTTACATTTGAGCTGCTACAGACCAGGCTGGGAATAGTAGACTCATCCTTAATATTGATACTTGTTCTGTGACGGTTCACAGGTTTGATGGGAAACAGCCCCTTCCTGTTCAGGCCCCCTTTCCCGCACCCGGCATTCTGTATGAAAGGATGTCTGAGGATCGTGGAGACAAGAAGGTAGAAGAGAATGACAGGGCAAGACGGGGAGGTGGAAAGGAAAGTAAGAACCTGCCCAAATGAAAAGCAGTCATTAACACTGTGTATGTGGAGTATTTATGATACGGTAAAACATATTAAAAAACAGAATTCAAAGATGTTTCATTTGTATGATCATAACTAGAAAAGAGACAATCATTTGGCAAAGGTCTGGGGGTGCAGGGTGGAGAGCGTCCATGGAGGAAAAGGGGGAACATCTGTAATATTTTCAATAATAAAGATCATTTTTTTTTTAATCAAAGAAGTAAATGGACTCCCCCAGCCTCCAATAGGGACCCTGGAGGAAAGTAAACAAATGCCAACCATGGTAGACCAGAGAGCCCGGGCTGTGAGGCGGGATTTTTTACTTCCTCACGTTCTACATTTTGTTAAATGAGCGGATCATTGGTCGTGTAAACAACCACACGTTTATTTGAGATGTGTTATCACTCCCAACACTTCACCCTCCCCAGTACCACCAGAGGCACAGCTCCCAGCACAGGGCACAGGCGTGCCTAGCTCTAAACTCATTTCCACAGCCTGTGTGTCTCGATTCTGAGAAGCCCATCAAGTTCAGAGCTTCTGTCCGCAGCAGGACAACCTGAGGATCCCATGCTTTCCCCAAGGACTCCAGGGCGGGGCAGTACCATCCGTGGCTGTCAGGCCTGGGACTCCGAGGACATTTCATAATGTGCGTTCAGCGTCCTCAGAACCTCAGGGTGAGAGCCCAGGACATGATGGAAAAGGGTCTTTGCTGCTTACATGTTATCTGGAAAGCTGACGTGAGAAACCACGCGTGTTTAACAAAAGCCATCTCTGGCCCTCTCATGCGGCTTCGGGCCTACTGAATGGCCCTCCCTGGCCGGAGGCCCTCGCACCCTGCTGTCTGGTGAGCATTTGTGTTGGAGGCCTGTCTTGGTTTCGTTTGTTTGCTCACAGCCCCCAGCTGGGCAGGCTCCCTCTCTCATTTCTCGTAACATTTTTTGAAAGAACGGGGCCTCTGATGCAGGGCCTCACAATGAGGTCTCGGGTTCCCTGTGAAATGGGAAGTTTTCAGCACCGAGGGGAGCCGAGAGCGGGGAGGGGCGCCGGCTCCCTCTGACCTGTCAAAGCCCCAAGGATGTCACTCGGGTCCCGTAGGTCAGGTTTCTCGGAAACTGCCGCACACTCAGGAGAAGAAGTGCTCGTCGTTTTCTAACATCAAAACCTAAGGAGTCGCCGAAACCGGTTTGGCTCAGTGGATAGAGCGTGGGCCTGCGGACTGAAGGGTCCCAGGTTCGATTCCGGTCGGGGGCATGTACCTGGGTTGCGGGCACTTCCCCGGTGGGGGATGTGCAGGAGGCAGCTGATCGATGTTTCTCTCTCCTCGATGTTTCTAACTCTCTATCTCTCTCTCTTCCTCTCTGTAAAAAATCAATAAAATATGTTTAAAAAAAAAAAAAAAAACGAGTCAGGCCAGCAGCTGCCAGGTTCTTCCTGAAAGCGTGTCACAAGGGCAAGTTCAATCCCTAACCATCTCCTTCAACACTCACCCCTGCGCTTTAGAATCCCCTCCACATCCAGACCTGAAGATCTCTGGGTATTTGGTTTGACTGATGTTTCTTTATCTTGAAATAATAAGTGCTAGTTTCTCTGTGCTAAACTGTCTCCCCCTGTTATCAGAGTTCAAAGTGTCACTATTGCTGTTTGGTTTTGCTTTGCTTTATTTTATTTTATATTTATGTATTTATTGCTGCAAAAGCTTTATTGTTTCATGCGGTCCGATGCATGGGAGAGGGCTCCAGGGTGGTTAAAAGGATGCCTACTGGTTCTAGAGAGAGGCTCAGGCAGAAGCCAGACACCAGGGGGTGCAGAGGGGCCCCTCAGAGGCCTCTGGGCTCCACAGGCTCCTGGTCGTGCTTGAGGGGGAGCCTTTCCAAGAGACACTCGCCCAGCCCAGCCTGGGGCCTAGCAGCCTGGAGGTGAGTCAGGTGTCACCCGTCTTCCTGATGAGTTTCACCTCCTCGCCCCGGAAGTGATTCTCCCGGAAGTCACAGAGATAGTTTAGCATCTTTAAGAGACGCTGCCCTCACGCTTCTTCTCCACCAACTGGCGGAGGTCACACGGTCACAGTGGAAACTGAAGCCCAGAGAGAGGTAGGTGTGGGCCCCGCAGAGGAGCTGGCCAGGTGGTGATGGCAGCCTCCACCTCGGGGAATAATTCCGACAAATTTGGGCTCTCATGGTTGGGGGCAATAAGGAGTTCAGGTCAAAAACCGGTGTTGGCTGCTCTCAGAGGCTGAGGATGGCTGAGGTCGTTCCGGAGGTGGGCATTGGGAAAGAGGTTGGAGGGAGGCCAGAGGCTGGAGGAAGGGGTGTCCCTGGTCCGTTCTGTCCAAACACTGTTGAAGCAAGAGGCAGATTCGGAACTAACCAGGGCACTGCCTGCTTTGCTTTATTTTATTTTTTTAATTCTTTATTGCTTAAAGTATTACATGAGTCTCCTTTTTCCCCCATTGACCTCTTCCTGGTCACTCCCATCCCCCAGCACATGCCTCCACCCCCCTAGAGTCTGTGTCCATGGATTATACTCATCTGCATGCATACAAGTCCTTTGGCTGCTCTCTCACCCCCCCACCCTGCCTTCCCTCTGAGGTTGGGCGGTCTATTTGATGCTTTATTTTAAAAATACTTGACTTGTAGCAACTCAAGGGAATAGGAGGAGAGAGTTTATAGTGACCATGAGCCATGAGCTTCATCCTATATAATAAAACCCTAATATGCAAATCGACTGAATGGCAGAATGACCAGTCGTTATGTTGCACACTGACCACCTGGAGGAAGACGCTCAGTGCAGGAGCTGCCCCCTGGTGGTCAGTGCACTTCCACAGGCGGAGCGCCTCTCAGCCAGAAGCCGGGCTCACGGCTGGCGAAAGCAGTGGCATTAGCGGGAGCCTCTTCTGCCTCCACGGCAGCACTAAGGACCCCACAGGGAGCGGGCCTAAGCCGGCAGGTGAACATCCCCCGAGGGGTCCTGGACTGTGATAGGGCACTGGCCAGGCTGAGAGGCCCTCCCCACCCCCCACCAGTGCACAAATGTCATACACCAGGCCTCTGGTATAAATATAACGTGTTTTGTTTTTAATTTAATTTTCCCAGCAATGTAATATTTCTATAGATGAGGAAAGTGATGCTCAAAAATAGATGCTGGTTGTTCCAGTAGGAATAGTTTCCCCCATTTTATTAAAAACTGGGGCTCAGAGAGGTTAGCTATTTGCTTAACATCATGTGGCTTGCTGAAGAGAGATAGGATTTACCCCAAGTCTGTCTGTCTCCCAGCTCTTGCTTGCTAGGCTTCTTTGAGTCCCTAACAGGAACACGTCGATGAGATGGTGTCACAATCATTCTCCTTTTATTCAGTTACTTTTTATTTATTTCTATTAATGTCAGAGAGGAAGGGAGAGGGAGAGAGAGAGAAACATCCATGATGGGAGAGAGAATCATCAATCGGCTGCCTCCTGCATGCCCCACACTGGGGATCGAACCCTCAACTCAGGCATGTGCCCTGACCAGCAATCAGACCATGACCTCCTGGTTCATAGATCAGTGCTCAACCACTGAGCCACACCGGCTGGGCCATTCTCATTGTATAGGTGGGAAAATACGGTTTAGAGAAGTTAAGTAACTTGTCCACAAGTCTACTGAGTGAGCTACAGAAGATATGGTGACCCAGGCGGTCTGACTTTCTGAACCGCTTCATGGACTGTGTCCCCAGAAACACTCTTAAAGAATCTGCTCCAATAAAAACAAGGGAGAAAGGGCCTTAGGTGTGCAAGGTACAAAATGCTAATTTCCAAAACAGTGAGAGGAAGAGAGAAGCAAAAGGAACTGGCTGTGACGCGAGGCTTGGCCACGGAGCTTGGGCTCCTCCACAAATACGGTACAAACCCTTCCTTGGTATTCCCAGGAGGGCCCGTGGGCACCTGGTCATTTCTCCTGGCTGTTGCCCAGGAAACCTCGCAGCTTCCGAGCCAGGAGGCCAGAGCTGTGTGGGGGAGGCCGCTGTGCATGGCGGGGTGGGCGGCCGAGGCTCAGCCAGGCCTGCGGTTTGGGGTGGGCTCACTCGTGCGGTGTTCTGGGGGTGCGCGGTGTTCTGGGTCCGGGGAGAGCTCTGTCCAATGAAGGAGGGAGCCATCCTCCACACGGGGGCCAGGCCACTGCCCCATGTAGGGAGGGCACGGCGGTGCCAGTTCATAGCGGGGATGGTTCTGCGCCCATCTGCGTGCGCCCAGGCCCCTCTGCCCATGGTGAGCAATGGCGAGGCCTCTGCAGGCACCCGGACCGACCGGGCGGGGCTGCCCTGCTGGAGGAGATCAGCCACAGCTTAGCTACCTCGGAGCCTCAGAGGAAGCAAAAGCAGGTCCCCGTGTAAACCTACACCCTGGGAATGTGCGACCCAATTTCTCTCCGGCTTTGTCTGAGCAATTAAGAGACGAGATAAGAAACTGTGAGAAGGAGCCGTGTTTTGAATGTCGGCCGCAGCTCGTTGCCAAGAATAAGACAAAGCAGAGCTCAGGCAGGAGGCCGAGCGGGAGGAGGCAGGTCCTGGTGGGGACGTGTGAGATCGATGGCCTCCAGCTCCTGCGCTTCACAACAAGGCCACCCGCCCGAGTGCCTCCTGGGGAGACGGGTGCAGTGTTTCCTCCCGGTGGGAGGTGAGGAGGCAGCCGGAGAGAGCGCGCCTCATTACGCAGAGGAGCCCGCGTAAGGCCGCTCTTCGCCACCGCCGGGGTCCTTCCGAGAAGGCGGGTGGTGAAGGGGGCCAAGGGCCAGCGGCCCTTCATCTCATAAAACCCGACTACCTGCAACAGGTGCACCAGCACAGACACTCCGCGGAGCCATCGAGACCTGCGGAAAGCAAGCTCCCCGAGCTGCAGGTGATGTGGCTGCCGGCTAATGATGGTATTAATTATACGGGGAACACTGCAATGCGCTCATAAAATGGGTGTCTGCACCCTCATCATTTAGCATCTCATGCCATGATGATAAAGCAATCATGACAGGATAACAAACAAGCTTCCTGTTTATTTCTTTCCCTCGCTGAGAACTAGACTTTGAAAGTCAAATCACAAAGTTTGGAGAAAGTGGGTAGAGACGTGATGTCGGCAGTGGAGAGAGCAAGGAAGAGATCAGATGGATGGATGGGGGGGAAAAGACTTATTTCCTATGATAAATACTCTCCTAAAGTGAGATCAGAACGAAGGTGGCAATTTCCCCTGGCTGGTCATAGTAGCATTCTGTTGGTATGTTTAAAAATACCCAAACCAGACGATCAATGTTGATGCTTCTCTCTCGTTGGTGTTTCTCTCTCTACCTCTCCCTTCCTCTCGCTCTAAAAAACCAATACAAAATGGGGTTTTTTAACTGCTCAAACTGCGCTGGCCAGTGTGGGCCACTCGTTTGGTTGGAACATTGTCCCATACACAGAAAGGCCACAGGTTCGATCCTGGGGCAGGGCACGTACCTAGGTTTCAGGTTCGATCCCCAGTCCAGGCATGTGCTGGAGGCAATCCATCAATCTCTCTCTCTCTCTCTCTCTCTCTCTCTCTCTCTCTCTCTCTCTCTCTCTCTCTCTCTCCCTGTCTCAAAAAGAAAAGAAAATGTTCTTGGGTGAGGATTAAAAAAGAGAGACGTATTCGATGGTATGTGGCATATCTCCATAAAGCTGTTACCGAACGTACACTACATTTTTTTAATGCCCAGAGCCTTTGGAAGAACAGCACCTTCAGAGGGCCGTGGAGGCCGGGTGCACGCTGGGAAGGAACATGAGGTCGCTGTCATGCACACGCAGCACCTGTCACTCCTAGGACTGCTCAAGGTCCCGCCGTTCACAGGCCCGAGGCTGAGCAGGGCAGGCGGTGGGAGGTGGAACGCGGGCGGGAAGGAGCTGGGAGGGTGGAAACTGCCAGGGAGAGCACGAGGGCAGGAAGGGGTGGGTGGAGGAGCAGGAGGGCGCGTCCGGAGAGAATCCAGGCAGCGACACACCCACCAGCACCAGTGCCAAGAGCCGGCCAAGATCCTTATCATGGCAGTTTAGTAAATTGCGCCTCATAAAAATTAAGGGCAATTGGGAAGGAGGACTGGGGACCCGGGCAGCAAGGCGTGGCAAAGCCTGACTTACCCGGAGTCCTGAAACAACCTCTCAGGAGAGGGTCTACCCACAGTGCCCTGCCTGCTGTCACCCGGCAGAAACCCCCCGAGGGCCGGCCATGCAGCTGCCTCCCGCCTGCCCGCTTGCTTCCTCGGCATTTCTCAACGCCGAGCCCTGCTCAGTCAGTGTGTTGATAGGTGCAGTTTTCAAAACATTGGCAAGTCCTCATTGCGGTGACTCAACTGCCTGTTTGTTTGTGTCTAATGGAGAGGAGGAAGCAAATACTCTTTTCTATTTCAAAGAAAAAAGGAATAATTTGATTATTGACTCACCCTTGATTGCTCCTGGAGTACTGTCCCTGGGACCAGGGCAGGGAGTCACCGCAGGTGTGGATAAGTTACAGTATTGGTGCACAGATCCGGTCTCAACTGGTTCCTCAGGTTAGGGAGGTGAGGGTGAACACCAAACTGGCAAAGGTAGGTGGTGGATGAATGTGGAAAACCCTTTACGTCAGATTCCCAGGAATTCAGAAATGGTGATAAATCTAACCTGGAGGAAATTCACCTTTCATTTATTTCTTTTAAATGGCAGGGAAATTAATAATGTGCAAAAGCATTGGAGAAAACACTGTTTGATCTACCGAGGCAAGCGGTGCCTCACCTTGCTCCGGCATCAACAGCCACACGCGTCTGTTTCAAATGGGCACATCGTGGCCTATATTTCATAAGCACGGTCGTGAACTCAGCCAGTGGTAGACTGTTTTTCTTTTTTTAAATTTGAACCATCCATCTTTCATGTATAAAGTAAAATAAAAATCAGGTAGGTAGAATTCCTTGTTAATTTAAAAGCATATACTCTAGACTCATATGCAGTATGTGTGTTGCTATGTTCTGAGATTAAATTTGTATTTAGCTGAAGGTCACCTCATTCTGGAACCTTGAACACTGTATCACAAGGAACAAAGTCATTTTATTCGGGAGACTCCCAAGTTCCCTGACCTTTGGTGTAGATAACTTGTGGGTTAAAAGATGGCATCGTCCTCTGGAACCCCGTCTTCTCTGTTCCCCTCGAGTATTTCCACAGAACCAGGCATCAGGATGAATCAGGGTGATTGTATTTCCTGAGTAGTCAAAGGAACAGCCAGTAGGACAGAGGTTTGGCTCCATCTTCACATCTTACATCTATACCTACAGCAAAATCCTCCACACCACTGATAAGATGTGTCACCTCTCTTCTCTATGGAGTTGCCCAGTCACCCCCTGGCCTATTCGATTCTGGAAGGTACGTGTGATCAGAAAGCTGCCCCTGAGCCATCCCACACATGAGAGTTCAAGAAGGAGAGCAGAAGTCCTCTCTCTGGCCACCCAGTGTTGCCTTGACTCACTCAGCCAGGTTCGCTGACTCATTTGTTCTATGAATACTAACTGGGTTCTCCTTCATGGGAATCAGAGGAGAAAGGAGTTGGACTCCCTTCGCCCTGGGGCCTGTGCATCTGGAGGTTCTGGGTTTGGGGAGGGAATGTGAAGCCAGATTTGCACGGAAGCAAACATCACCTAAGTCTGTCAGAAAAATAGAAAAACAGATATGCCTGTTTTCTATCTTTTTTATTAGGCAGTGAAGATGGGTGGAGAGGGAGAGAAACTCACTCCTCTCTGGGATTAACTCAAAAAGCCTTTCAAGGAGATGGGAGCTGAGAGGGGTTTGCAAGGTTGTTTTCAACTCGAGATCAAGGGGAGCTGGGGCTCCAGGTGCGAGTCACATGGCCAGCAAGGAAACTGACATGGGAAACTGGGCTGATGGGAAACCAGTGCTTTGAGATTTAGGTACAAGAAGAGAAATATTAGCAGGTGAGTTTGGAAAAGAAGACTAGACCAGTGGTCGGCAAACTCATTAGTCAACAGAGCCAAATATCAACAGTACAACGATTGGAATTTCTTTTGAGAGTCAAATTTTATAAATTTAAACTATATAGGTAGGTACATTGTTATTAAATTAATTAGGGTACTCCTAAGGCTTAGGAAGAGCCACACTCAAGAGGCCAAAGAGCCGCATGTGGCTCGAGAGCCGCAGTTTGCCGACCACTGGACTAGACTATTTACTCAGGGACATTAGTCAAGAATCTGTTAGGTACTGGACCCCCTACTAAGTCGTGGGGACAAAAGTTTACCTAAAGATTTTCTGCCCAAAGTGAGCCCGCCAGCCAGCTGCATCAGCATCACCGGAGTCTGATTCCAAATGAATAATTTCAGACCCCACGCCACAGCCAAAGAGTCAAAATTTGCGTTTTTAACAAAATCCCCAGGTGACTACCGTGCAGGTAAGCTTGAGAACGACTGGAGTAACATATTGTCCACATTCAAGGAGCCTACGTCTTATTGGAGAAGGTAGACAAGCAGACCATTCAATGTAGTGCAGTGATAAATGGGGAAGGGAGACAAGAACAAGAATGGGAGATGCTGAGGCCAGCAAATCAGATCAAGGGGAAGGTCGCGGGGGGCAAAAAAGAACAGTTGTGCAGCCGTGTCCCCAATGGGGCCCGAAGGTGCCACAGTGCAGGCTGCCTACTGAAGACATTGACCATTAAAGAGAAGGAACCTCAACGTTTCCTTTACTGCCTGATCCTCCCCCACCGCTTCTTTGGTACCAGCTTCCATCATCTCCTGCCCGCACCATGCAACACCCTCTCTACTGGCCGCTGAGCCCCATCCATTCTGCCCGTCACCCCAACCCCCACCCAGTGTATCATACTGCAGCCAGAACCTTTGCAAAACATCAATCTGATCTCATCATCAGATGAAAGTCTACTTTTTAATGTTTTTCATTGTTTTTTGATGAGAGAGGAAGGGAGAAAAGAAAGAGAAACATCCATGTGAGAAACTGATTGGCTGGCTCTTGCACACCCCCTGCTGGGGATCGAGCCCGCAGCCCAAGCATGTGCCCTGACCAGGAATCATACCAACTGCCTTTCAGTGCACAGGACAATGAATGCCCAGTCAGCGGAGCACGCTGGCCAGGCCTTCACGTTCTTGGATAGCTTCCCAGTGCTTCCCTCCTTACTATGGTTTGTAAAGTGCTGGGGCCTCAGCTCCGGCTGCATCTCCCTCCCCACACAAATGGACTACCCCCTCCCCCCCAGCCTCCCCTCCTCCCCGCCCCCGCAGTGCTCTCTACTCCAACCAACAGGCCTCTTTTTCAGTCTCATACACTCTTCACACTTCCTCCTACAATAGGCATTTGAACGTGTTGCTGGTGTGGCTCAGAGGTTGCGTGTTGACCTATGAACCAGGAGGTCACGGTTTGATTGCCAGGTTGCGGGCTCCGTTGCCAGTGGAGGGTGTGCAGGAGGCAGCTGTTCAATGATTCTCTCTCATCATTGATGTTTCTCTCTCTCTCCCTCTCCCTTCCTCTCTGCAACCAATGAAAATACTTTTGAAAAATATTGGTTTTAGGTGGACAACATCGTGAACAGCTCTTGAATAAATGTTGTGACAGCAACTCTCCAGTCACTCAATTACTGTTTATTCATCTTCCCCACTGCCTTTGTGGTCTTTGGGGATACAGCCGTGAAGCAAACAGGCAAAAATCTCTCTCCTTGTGGTGGACGGAGGGAAATGAAAATAAACTAAACAAGCAAATGGTATGGGAGTTAGGACGTGATCATTGCTGTGGGGGCGGAGGGATGTGCAGCAGGGAGGAGAACCAGGGCGGAAGCAGGTTGTAAATGGAAGAGTGTGGGCAGAAAAGCCTTCCCCAACTCCTGTCACAGTGATGGCGAACCTTTTGAGCTCGCCATGTCAGCATTTTGAAAAACCCTAACTTAACTCTGGTGCCGTGCCACATATAGAAATTTTTTGATATTTGCAACCATAGTAAAAGAAAGACTTATATTTTTGATATTTATTTTATATATTTAAATGCCATTTAACAAAGAAAAATCAACCAAAAAAATGAGTTCGCGTGTCACCTCTGACGTGCATATCATAGGTTCGCCATCACTATCTTGTCAGCTCCGCGTCCCCCGCCACCTCCCACCCCCAACGCCCCAAGCTGCTTCTAAGCATCAGTTCTGGAACTTTCATGAGCGTCAGAATCACAGGGAGGTTGGCTAAAAGCAATTGCTGGGCTGTCTGCAGTTTCTGATGTAGTAGGTTGGGGGTGGGCCCTGAGAATTGCATTTCCCACAGGTACCCAGGAGACGCTTATGCTACTGGTCCAGGGAACATACTTTGAGAACGTCTAATTCTAAATAAAATTGAGGAGACTAATTGAAGTTGCTCTTGTTGAGTGTTATAACAACCAGTACACCGGAAGAGCGTAATAAGTAATCATCTTAGTTTCTCCTCCAGGAAAAACAATCCAATTGGATTTAATCTTCTAACCGATATCTCTTTCATCAATTCTACTGCTCTCCCCTAAAATCTCTGGGAAAAAAAAAAAAAAAATCCCCTTATGCATGTAGAAATTAAAACTAGGCATCATATATTCATAAGGGCCTACTAGTGAATTAAGTAGAAATAATAGTCTTCTGCAGCTCTTTCGAATAACCTGATAGTTTAAAAATACCCAATTTAAAAAATAGCTTTTTAAATTAAAGCATAATATTACTTAAAAGATCTCGCTGGGCTACTGACTTCATCACACAAAAGAATTTATTGTTCAGATTTTGTTTCTTTAATAAATACATAGGGAGAGGTGAATAGTCAACTTTCCTCTTGCCATTCTGCATTAGAACAATTCATTTTTAAAATGTGTGTTCTCAAACCACTTTTTAAAATAAGGGTTAAAAATTGCACAAAAGGAAAGCAAATTTCTTTTTTAACTGATAAACTAAAATGAAACAGGACTCTCACAGCAGCTAATAAAGCATGTCTTTTGACATTTGTAAATTCAGGAGATGCCACTTTAATACAGTGTGGAAGTGGATATTGATCTTCAGTTCATTGGTTTTAGTGTGCCCTGGTAAAGTATCTGACTTGCATTTTTCTATCTGCCAAGATGTCGGTTCTGACAGGACTCTCTTCAGGCGAAATGTAGTCGGCCTTTCCGCAGTTTTCGCTGACACAGAAAATAAACAATTTCTTAACATCATTTAGGATAATGCTATCTGAATCATAGCAAGTTCAACTCCAAATGAGGTGCACATGTGAAGTCATGTGCAGAAACTGGCTGAGTTAGTTCAGGGCATGACCATTTAGCAGCCGACTAACCAATGCTGGAAGCATATCTGACTGGAGAAAAACTCCCAAATACATTAAAACAGCCAGCCTTTAATGTCCTCATTTCCACTTGTGTATAACATTTGACTTTAATCGAATGTATATGCAAGTTGCTTCCTGCAATGTTGAGCATTAACTATAATGCACCCTTATCTAGAAGACATTTGATGATTTGGGTTGGCCATTAAAATGTTTAAATTGAGCACTTAAGTACAGTTTAGAAAATTATAGTCTCTACATTTGAAATAACCATAAATAAAACTCTCTTTAAATTATTATGGAAGAATAATGCTAAGTGAAAAAAGCAGAATACAA